CAGATGTAAAAAATTACCACATGCAAAGCAAATGTTTCCAAACTGGAAGCTAAACTGCAGCTGCGGTTTTAGCTTATTTTCTTGTACTTCTAAAAGTCCGGTGCAAACTGAAAGGCGACGCATCTGTGGTCATTGCTGCTATAAATCGCATCGCAGATATTTGGACTGTCAGAAATAACAATATTTGATTAATAAATAAAAACTGTCTAAGCAGGCTGGAACAATTTAATGCAGCAGGATGGCAGAAAATCTTTTAACAATTAAACCAAATACATAAAACAAAATAATAAATAAAAAGATGACAAAAAATTGTGCATCTCTCTCATCTGAAAAATATTTCTCAGTGACTTTCTGTCACACAAATACAGATAATTGTATTTCCAATTTATAGTTCGGGAGCTGGACTTTAATTTACATTCACACTGATTTAATTGCAGGCAAAATGTGCTCCTAAAACCCTCAGGGCTTCAGGGTTAAATATAAAGACTGGTGCTTTAATCAGCCATCAAGATCAGAATGCATATGCTGAGTCATGCCTGCATGGTCCGCGCTCCAACGCTGGCTGCACAGCAGAGGGTGAATGTGTGGGAAGAGTTCATAGACCAACATTCAGACTTCATGCATGTGTGAATATGGACGGAAAAACAGCACTTATTAATAACACCTTTATTGAATTTATGAGAGGTTTTTTCTTTAGGTAGTGTTAATCTTATATTACATATTTTGTTTTATAAAAGAAAGAAATCAACTTTTAAATCCTTTCCCCAGACCAAGATCAGAAATGTTCTCATAAAAGATGCTTCTGTCAGAATATGCAAGAAAAAATGTGACTGATGAGAGGAGGATGGGAAACTTAATAGTTGTGAACAAATTGTAATTTATAAGAAACAAATAAGAAATAATTAAAAACCGGAAGAGAATAAAACACAGAAGAGCTGCTGGTCAGTGTTTTTTTTTTTAACATTAATTATTGCAAGACTTAGTTTCTCAGTTGCTCAACTTTATGGAAAAATGATAAATGCTAATGTGCTTGTAAATTAGCAGCGGTTCCTTTTGGTAGCACATTAATCATTTCATCTTTTAATTGATTTAATCTTTTTTTTTTAATGAATGTAATCTTGAACATTTCTGGACATAAAACATGTAGCAGAGGCAGTAGCTTTAGTTTAGCTTGCAGCCACAGGAGCAGGAAGTTGTGTGGAAAGATGATCAGGAGGCTCTTATTATTTCCCTGGAACATTAGTTAGTGACAAACATCTGCATCTATTTAATGCTTTTCTTCCTTCTTTGAAACAGCAACCTTGTGAAGGAGATATTCATCGGGTAAAAAAAAGAAAATGTACCGAACTTTATCAGATTATTTATACCCACCTCAAAGCAGGGAACATTTCAATGATAAAAGCAAAATATTTGGTGGGTTTTCAACATTCAGCTCACTTTAATATTAGACCCTTGAGAAGAAATAGGTGCATTAGATTGGTAATGGAGCTTCAAAGTGTGTTATTTCATCTCAGTACATATCCAGCAGGTCTCTGAAGGTCTGTTAGTGTCACGATTGAATGAAGGTTTTTGGGGACCAGAGATCAGGAGGCAGAGATTTTTTTATTTTCAAAAATGAAAATA